TTGGCTGCTTCTGGTCTAATTTTCTGCTAACTTTTCTGGTCTAATTTTTAGCATGTGTTGTTCATGTGTTGTGGTTAGATGCAGAAGGAAGGAGAAATGGTGAAAAGATCATTCAAAATAAAAGAAGTAAATACCCTGGTATTTACTTCTACTTAGCTGCCATTGGCTGACTCAGAGTGGGTCATTATTATTACTATCAGTCACATGACTGAGTGATAAATGAGCAGCCTGAGTCAGAGCATTACCATGCAACACTGATCAACAGAGGGGGCAGCGTGGAGTCAGGGTGAAGAGAGGCAGGATCTGGAGCGTCATCAGTCACTGGTTCATTAACATTCGTCAGTGAGACGCTGAGAGGACGAGCTGAGGTGACGACGGGGAAGCATCACGGGAAAAGATGAACGAGCCTGTCAGCAAATTCAGATTGTTTTCCTGGCATCGCTCTCTGACCTACTGACCTCTTACCTTACAAAGACAACGTGACACCGCGGTCTACCACGTGACCATCGTCACCTAACGAAGTGTCTGCTCTCAGGTCAATCAGTCTAAGTAAAAAAACTTTAAATAATTCAGCTGATATTGTAGTAGTTTCCAGTCATGGTGTCCGGGGTTAGTGGTTTTTTTTTTTTTTTTTGTGGGGGTCATGTGGTCCTGACAGCTGGTGGAGCAGGGATTAGGGATGGGCCTGATGGGACAGTGTGGTTAAGGGGGGAGGGGGTGAGGAGAGGAGAGGAGGAGGGGGTCAGGAAGGAGACCCTTCTTCATAAAACACACACTTCAACATACAGAGAACATGTTGGATGTAAATGAGCCACATGTTGATCCTTGAGTCTTCATCAGGAGGCTGACCTTCTCCAGTCCTTCCAACAAAGCTCATATTTGAACATGCTGATCTGACCTTTGACCCTCTGCAGCCACAGCGTAGACAGGGTGTGATGTCATCATCAACTGTAGAAACACTGTGACCATGGAACTTAACCTGAGGTTGATGATGATGATGATGATAAATCAAGACAAAGAAAAAAAGTGCAAGCAATGGCCTGCAGGCTCCTTGTGGTCTGTGGGCTCCTTGTGGTCCGTTAAGGTATTGCATGTGGTTCTTGACCTTTTTCTACTTAATGTTGTTTCAGCAGATCTCAGAATTCTTCTGAAGAAACGTAGGAGAAAAAAAAAAGATAAAATAATCTGAGGGCTGGACACCTGTCTTTACACAGTATGGACCAGCAGGGGTCCCCAGGTTCCCTTTCTGTCAGAATGGTGGTCCCATGATCACAATAAGTGGAAAAACACCTGTGTGATAGGGATTAGAGGTTTGAGGGATTATAAAACAGGGTTGAATGCCTTGCTTAAAGTGAAGGTCATTTTCCAGTCATGTTTTTTTTTTTCGGTTCAAGAAGCTCCTTCTCAACAACGATTAAGCTGCAGGACATGTCCAGAAAACATCTGGGTTGCGAACCGTGGGTGGCACAGACGACCGAAACTCTAGGCTAGCTAGGCTAATGGACCTTTTTTTTTTGGTCATGCTAGGAGGCTTGTTTACTGGACCCATCCATCACTGACTGACTGAACCAGAGTCCTTCTTACTTAATGGGATTCTGTTAAGAGGAGGATTAAAGGTGGAGGTCTGATGGATAAACACTTTAACCCTTTAATCACCTCTGGTCTTAAAGCCTTTAACCATGGACCAGTCTGATCCCCGTCTCTCTCCACTCTTCTCTCTTCTCCATCATCTCTCCTCCTGTGACCACAGAGATGTGAAGGAAAAAAAAAGACTTTTCCTGAAGCTTTCATCTTGATTGATTGTTAGCCACAACGGTTTGACCCTAATGAAAGTACCTTGTATCTAATCTCCTGATAATGAAGACAAAACAAAACTCTAATGTGCCGCCTGTGCATTAGGTCTGGGCTGGAAAACCCATTTAGATTCTTGTTCCCTGGAGCCGAAGCAGCATCTCTGCACCGCAGTGAAGACGTATGTGTGTGTGGGGGGGTGATGAGGGGGGGCTCAGAGAGGCTACAGCTGTTGGATGCCACGCCACATAGTCACCACCACATACTTATAAAGTCCACCAGCAGGACGCAGGTCCATCGCAGCAGCTGCCGGGGCGGAGAGTTCCCAAATTATCCGCGGCTCATAGTTTGGGTGTGGATCACAAAGAACGTACACGGTGCATCCTGACTCCTCTGGCAGAGGTCCAGACAAAGGGATAATCTTTCAGTGCATGGGGTCAACGCAAAAAACCTGCAGCAGAGTCTGAGAGAGTGTGTAGAGAGAGAAACCCCCTGGAAGTCCTGTGTAATTCAGACGGTTCATCTCGATCCAACGATCGGAGGCGACAAAGGCGTGAGTTTGAAAAGATGCTGAAAGAAGAACTGAAAGTGAGACTGAGCTGCTCTGCAGCCAGAGCAAAAACAAACGGCGGAAGCTTTTTTAACTTTGAATGGCTTTAAAGCGGGCGTGCCTGGGCTGGTAACCGGGCCTGTACAATGTGGAGCGGAGGAGAAGGTGTGGCCCACGCAGACATCTGCCCACCAATGTAGGCCATATTGTGTCAACAGCTGCTATAGTGAGAAGTCCCCGGGGACCGAGGTTGAATCATTTAAACATTACGGCTTAGGTGTAAGACTATCTCCTCCGTCTTTTATGTCGTTGCTAATGCAGCCAGCGTAGCTGAAGGCATGTTAACATGACAAGGAAAAGACAAAGGCTGCCTCCTGTTACCACCTGCAGCCCATGAAACCACAGCTGTATACGTCTGACCCCGTGAGGGTGACAACACTCTGTGACTGGTTCTACCTCACAGACTCCGCTCAGGATTTATGACATGTTTTTTTAAAGGTGTTTTGGGCTGGAGATGGTGCCATTTTAAAATGCAAATGTCTGGTAAACTGCTCACACAGCCCTGTAGGTGTCAGTAAATCACCCAAACATGAAGAAGAGAGTTTAAACAGTGATGAAAATTACAACCTCTGGCTGAGTTTGTGACTTATACTCAGGTGCGATTTATATTTTAAAATATTTAATTTTACATGTTTGTCACTTTCACACTGACAGCCACTAGAGGGCACTCTAGCTTACATATTTACATATTTTTTTTCTCTTCATGTATTTTTTGGCTGGTATTTTTTTCTCTTCATCGTGTATTTTTTGGCTGGTGCAATTTATAGTCTGGAAAATACGGAAATGTAAAAAAAACTCTGTGTATTTTACAGGTCACCTGTCTGCAGGATTTCTTCGGGGAGGACGACGTCTTCATCGCTTGTGGACCAGAGAAATTTCGTTACGCCCAGGACGACTTCTCCCTGGATGAGAATGGTGAGCGACTGTTGTCTGGCTGGTGGGGGAAAAAAAAAACGATTTTTTTTTTTTCTGGCCAAGATTGAACGTGGTCTGGTGCTTGTTTATAGATAGAGAGGTAAAAACAAATCTGTGTATGAGAGTGAGGCCGGTGAAGACAGACGGTGGTGAGAGGAGCCTGTTATCTGCAGCAGGCAGCAGTGAGAGGAAAAGGTGGGAAATGAAAAGAGAAAAAAAAAAAAAGCTTCATTAATCTGTGAGCTGACAGGTTTAGGTCAGCTGATCCACTGCCGCTGATGCTGCTGAGAAGTCGAGCAGCGGAGAAAACGTGAAACCAATCCGTCCTCCGACTCTTTCAGCTCCATGCAGAGCAGGAATCAAATCCTATTTTTAACCCTTTCAGCCCACGTCCCTCCTGCGGTAGACGTTCCCAGTCCTGTAAACAAGACCTTTAATCTAAACACTGTTGTCATTGTGCTTCCTCCACTCCTTTGTCTTCCCTTTCTTCCTTGTCAGATCGTGTTAGGATGGAGGTGCAGTTAGTTTATAATGATCTGACATCTTCTCCTTTCAGCCCTCAGCCCCATGAGACCAAAACTAAATAGTTTCCTTCAGTGTAACAGCCTGAGGGCAGAACTGGATAAAATGGCTGGTAATCTCAAACAGCCCCCGTATCAGTGAATCGCCCCCGTCGAGCCGAGGAGGACGGATCGCTGTCTGTGATGGGAACGTGTCTAAGGTTCCCACCTGTCTGGGTGATTTACGGTCAGCCGCGTTCACAAAGATGAATTTAATGTTATTATGAAGAGTTGATGAAAAAAGAGCAGATGTCAGAGGAGGCAGGAGAGACGATGTTACTGTAATAATAACTCTATACTCTATATCTACAGTATATATGTGTAAAAATGTAAGCATTTATATTAATATATAATGTCCATCTCTATATATGTATGTATATATGCGCAGGCACAGAGGCATTAATGGTGGTTAAACATGACTGCATCGGAAGAACAGGGTATTTTAGCAGCTGTGTGCAGTTTTTACAACCTTGTTGCCACATCCATCCATCCATCCATCCATCCATCCATCCATCCACTCCGACTGTGGCTCACTTGCTTACAGTAAAATTGTTGTGAAAAAGAAATTGGTGGTGGAGCTTTGCCTACGCTGCCCTCTGCTGGACTGTTGAGTAATTACCGTCAAGCAAATTGTGACTTGATTGACTGTGACATACAGTATCTACAATTATGCATTTCTACAAAGGAATCATTTGATGGAAGAAGCTCGACACTGTTTAGCTTTAAGTGGAGGATACGAAAGAAAATCACTTATTTTAAGTATGTTAGGGTTTTGTCTTGGAACTTTTTGACTTGTCCACATCTATCATAATGTACAATTTGCATTTATGACTGCTGTGTAATTTAGGAGTTTAAATATTTGTGGGCATAAAAAAACACAAATATTTTAAAACGACTGCTGCAAAATTTAGGAGTTTAAGTCCTGCTCTTGTCTTTTCAAAGTCTGCCTCGGCAGAGTTACCGAAGACAAACGTACATCCACACCATGATGTAAAATAGATGCAGATTTTATTCACAGGCAGAGAGAAGAACATGTCTGTGTTCAAGCTGCAGAGACGGCATCAACACCACCACCAGTAGCCCTGAGTCAAATGAGTGTTGACAGTGTTGTCAGTCGGGTGAGGAGACGAGCCTTCAGTCTGAAGTACAGTCAGAGGCGCAGGGACACGCCTTCCAGACAATAGAGCACAAATGTACGTCGGTACCCAGCAGTGTGTGAAGGTTAGCGGAGGAGACAGACGTGCTGTCGATCCCAGGAGTCAGTGAGAGACGGAGTATAATTAGCATCAAAAGTGGGGAAGAGGGGGAGGGGCAGACGAAGGGTGAGGAGAGGAAGTGTGTCTATGCTAGAGGCTGGATGAAGGAGATGGATGTTCTTTGTCGTTGTCAGTTTTAAAGCCACACAGAATCACAGAATTCAGGTCTGGGTGCAGGACCTCTAATGGCCAGCAGGGGGCGACACTGGGAAATCTTTGGTTACTGGGCAGTAACTGTGTTTTCTTTGTTTTGTAAACTACAATCCCATTTGGAAGAAAACGTTCACTAAAGCACTTCTGGTCCGTGACTCAAACTGCAGCTGCTGTTTATCCATCATTGTTTCT